ACAACAGGATCTCTAAAGACGTCACAACAGACCGGACAGCAGAAATCCTTCTCTGATCTGGAAGCCATTTGGAAACAGCAGATAACAAGTTAAAACATGAAGTCAGGTGTGTTTCCCCACCCTGCTGTAAAATGTTGCATCAGTTACTTTCACTTTGAGTCTTTGAGTGTTTATTTCAGTCAGCAGCAGGTTGAACTACTTCAGAGTACTTCAGTCCTCGTCCTGTAACTGTCCTCCCTCAGTTGAACTCACAAAATTTGTGAAGGTAAATCTTACCGTCTTTCTGTCTGTGTGTCTCTCCTCAGTGAGAAATATACAGGAACAAACTGTTTCCTGGTTGGTCTCTGGTGATGTCATTAAGGGGTGGAGCTTTGTCAGCTCACTGCTGTGTCTCATTTTAAAGGGAAATATGATCCATCACACTGCTCTGAGATCACGTCACAAAGAAAACAACCAGAGCAAATTCACTTTCACTCATATTTCTGATTGTTTTTTTGTTTGTTTTAAATCATTTATAAAAATAAAAATTACTCAATAAAGTCCAAGTTATATTATTATATATATATACTAATGGTTTACATGTATTAATATTTAGTAAATATTTTCAAACCTATTGCTCATATTTTTGGGTATTTTCAAAAATGTTTTCCTAATTTTAAACTCATATTAAAGTGAAATTAAATAAATCCCTGAACCATGAACACTGAAGGAATCCTAACCGGGAGAAGCTGACTATAATGACGGCCATGGTGGTGAAGACAACAACTCCCATGATCCCACACTGCTTCATTACCTCATCACACTTTTTCTTTTGTCATTGTTCTGATGAGAAAGAGCCCCTACTGACAGAAATTACACATTGTACATTCAGGTAGCCTACAGTACTTGAGTAAATGTACTCGGTTACATTCCACCATAGTTTGAAACTAATATAAAAATGAGTGAAACTGCTGATCTGTATTTTGGTTTGTGCAGCACCTTTAATATGACAAAAATATGAAAACTAATGTACAGAGCAGCATTATTAAATATGACTCGTTCACAGAGGTAAATACGCTGAGAGTCTCTCAGTGAGTGTGAGCCGGCGATGAACAGATGAACGTGTGTTGAGTTTCGGGGGAGCAGCTTGTAGAAATCCAGCTTCTGGGGTTTTCAACCAGCACGCAGTCTGGGCCCACGTTGGACTCACCGCGGCTCGCTGCCCCCTTCAGTCTGGAGAAGGACACTGAGCGACCGTCAGCCCACAGCCAGCGACCCGGACCACCAGACAGACCTGAGACACATGAAGAACAGTTAGCTGCCTGAAAACTGGACAACAACAATCACTGAACAATAATCAGATATAGGCTCAACACCCAGGTCTTATAGACAGTTGACCTCATGCAGCAACATGCTTTCTTTGAGGTTTGTTCAAAGTCAGATCCAACTCTCTTAACTGCTCAAACTTGTCATAAATTACTTGTTTCAATCAATACAATTGTGAAATACTAATAAATGTTGGATCCGTCACTCACCGATCCAAAATGGCTTCTTCTCTGCAAACTTCCACAGCCAGCTCATGTCTCTTCTGGAGCGCACGCTGGTCAGGCTGCTGTTAAACCTGACACACAAATGTTAGTATGAGTCAAACACACGTCTGACGCTGTGATCACAATTAACAGAACAGATTAATATTTTCTGCCATCAGAATCTGTTCATTAAAGAGAGAACTTTATCATTAAAAGCGAAGAGACCCAAAAGAGTTTTAAGAAGATGAATGAAGAGAATTTTTTATTATTGTTCACAGATCTTAACTTGGTGAGTAAAATGTTATTATAACCAACAGTAATGATGGATAAAACTGTGGAAATAAGTTAATGGATGAAGTAAAAATAAAAGTGTGTTGTTTACAGCAGCGAGCAGGTCCTCTCGGCGCTGGCCCAGCTGGCCACAGACGAGCTGCGGGTGTAACAGCGTCTCCTGTAGTGTGTCCAACCGTCGGGACAGGAGCTGCTGACTGACCTCCCCGTCTGAGGACACAAAGAGAGAATTATTATAACCAGCTATACAAACCGCAACGCCACTGACTGGACTCTGGGGGGATTTATCTTGCTGCTGACACCCCTGAAAACGAGAAGATGCATCTCAAGGGGTTTATCTCGAGATAATAACATTTGTGAATTTCAGCTCCAGTTGTTTGACTGCAGACGTCTGCCTTCTTCATAAATATGATTTCATAAAGTTTATATATACAAGTTTCACAAAAGCAGAATTATGAAATCCAGGATAACTAGGCTTGACGTAGCCTAGTCAGTGCAGCTGGGCTTAATAGGTTTCTCAAGGGCCTAGCCGGGCTGAGGAGGAGCAACCAGGTTTAAATGGTTGAAATGGAGAAGACGTATTAAACATACTTTACATAACGGAAGCGTGGCAGACAATATCAGAGGTGCACAAATGAACAGTACATTTGTCTTTAAAGTGAGCCGTGGAGGTTCATATGTTACTCAGGAATTCATTTTGCTGCTTCATGAAGTTCATTTAGAGAACTAAACCGAATTTCAGAACTATTATATTATTTCCCCTCACCAAAGCTCTATACTCTCATAATGAAAAATAAAGACGGAAAGAGTAAAAATAAAAGCAGAAAGATGGAGGGATTGTTGGTTGTTTTGGCTGTATTGTATTGACACAAGTGTGTATTTGTGTGTGTGTACCTTGCGCTGGCGCAGCTCCGGGTGGTGTCTGGGTTCTGGATGATCCATCTGAGGAGGGTCTCCGACTGGGAGCTCCTGCAGGAGGCGACCGCGAGTCGACCGGCTCCACAGGTCATCCCCCGGCTTCAGCTCCTCCAACCGGAGAGGAGTAAGACTGTGGAACTGATGCAGAAGGAGAACCAGGAACACATTAACACAGTGTGTGTGTGTGTGTGTGTGCGTGTGTGTGTGTGTTTGTAACTGTGGAGAAACTGACAGTG